GAACATCACAGAGTGAAGTTGCATGCTGTGTCAGAGCAGTGAATGTGCTGCTCAATCAGAACAGTGGGGACAACTGCCATTGCTTTGGAAATCCTCAGTTCTTAAAGGATGTAGGGACTTACTAGAGCTTTTTATTCCCCCTCTGTTCTCTTCGTTAAAACCACCTCACCATCACCAGTGAGCCATTCTATGAAGACATGCTTACCCTAGTAAGCCAAACAAAGGAGTACTGCGACGCCACAAAGAGCAATCACATGGAAAGGTTACAACATCAATTTTCTTCAGTTTTTCTCCAAAACAACACTAGCCACATTTCTTACTGCTTTGATATTCTTGCTAGATAAGGGCCTCTAAAACTGTCTTTGATTATGCAACTGTGATGCTCACTTCGAAAGCAAATTGCTTGTTTTTAAATCCGTTTATGGAGGTGTTATTCACTATCCAACCTAAACACTTGTGAGCCCTTGAGTTACATTGAAATACTTTTTTTTTTTTTTTTTTAATTCACCAAACCCTAAAATACTCCACAGCCTCCTGAAAGCTAAGATCTGACACTGCATTGATTATCTCCTTGTTTTACCAGTCTGAGGGGGAGGAATGGACTGTGCATGCGTGTCTAATGTTTTCCACCAGTTTTATTACCATGAAAAAGCTGTCTATCACAGAGCTAGACAGCCATAAAGTGATTTGAAAGGGATGTAAAACCAAATGGGAAAAATCATTAATCATTCCCAAAATGATACAAAATGGATGAAGAACAAACTAATTAAGCCTTCCCAACTTTGAAATCCTAGAATACAGGAATATATCCAGCAAGTTAGTGTTTACCTACTGGATAAACACCAGCTCATATTCTAGGGGCTTTCAATGCTGGCAGCCATTTCAGGCTTTAGCTAATAAGATAGCATACTTCCATTTTTCAGCCCACAGACACATCTTTTAGCTCTAACTCACGTTACTATGAATATAGCAAAGCACTAATTCAGGGCTATGAAGAAGCAAGCATTTGGCCAAGCAATCTGAAACAAAATAAATGGCTACAGATTTAGATGGTCACTTAGATATTATGTTATCCACTACAATGGAATTTTTTCCCCTCCCCAGATCCCCATTGAAATAAAAAGAATTAGCACAGGTTAATTTAGAAAACTTAGATCTTAATAAGAAAAACAATCATCACAAAAACAGTAAAGTCATTCACAGAAAATACACTTTCAATCAAGAAGTGCTAATGGCAATATTTGCTTCATTTTTCTTTAATTGCCCATCTTTCCTTTGGAAGACTCTCCATAAGTAGATTAAATATTTTCAAATTGTCTCCTTATCACTTCACATCTAGATAAACATTTTCCTTTACAAAATGCACGTACATCAGGCACAAATTCACAGAATCACAGAACTGTAGGGGTTGGAAGGGACCTCCAGGGATCATCGAGTCCAACCCCCCCGCCAAAGCAGGTTCCCTATAGCAGGTCGCACAGGTAGGCATCCAGGCATTGGCTGACATCCCCGCAATTAAGGCATACTGACCACTTTTTCAAAGCAGAACAGAAGCTCCAACAGTACCTTTCTAGCAGCCTCTCCCATAACATCACATGGAATTTCTCTATAACATTCTCAAAACTATGTTTCCTGAAGCCTCTTTCCCTACAGACATGTCCTGGGCTTCTTAGCCCACTTATCTCCTAGCACTTCCACTACTCTGTGAAGCCAGACAAGCAACACCTGGGCAACGATGCTTTTTCACAGGGCTGACCAGAGGGTGCAAGATACGACCAGCTCACTGACCAGCTGGCTGATGCCTGGCAGAAGTGACTGGAGCCCACACATAGTTGCCCTTCCTCAGTGGGAAGCACTAACTGGGCATTTTTCTCCTACCCGGCTGCTGATTTTTCCATGAAATTTGTAGGAACTTAAATATATTCCCATTCTCCATACTCAGTAGAAGCAAATTACTGCTTTGTCTTACAATAATAATTTCAGCTGATACAGCATGATAGCTTTCTTAGGAAATAAGATTATTGGTTTGAAATGAGAAGCCAGTTGTATTGCTTTTTGAATACAGGAGGTTATTTCATTCTTATCAAGACCAATAAGGAAGTTGTTTGACTGTAGGTCAACACAATACAGTAGGATGTTGGATTTCAGACTCCACTGCAGATAAAGTGCAAGTTCACATTGGCAGGAGGAAAAAAAAAAAAGGAAAAAAAAAAAAGGAAAGACAGCTTTCTTTGGCTTGCGTTGTTCTTAGTACCTCCTAAATCCACAATAAAAGGATTTTTCCTGAAGCATTTCTAACACAGCAAGTACTGCACACCAGCTCTAAGATAAGCACCTGCTTTTCCTCTTGCTAGTATTGTTGCACCCTACTGGGCAGCACTTTGGGACCAGTCTTCCTAGGTCCCACAGCCTGCTGCAATCACCTCTCATTTCACTGCCCATTGCCAGACTGCACCACCTCCTAAGCACACAGGACATTAGAGGACAACTAGAGGACAACCCACTGGTTTTGCAGCCAAAGCAAGAAATAAACCAGGCCTGAAAAACCGATTTCCTGGCAAAAAGCAACAGTCGTATGGCAGAAATTGCTACATGATATAGAAACCAATCCTACCCACCCTAATTGCCAGAGCCACACACTATTGCTTTACACATTGCCCATATTTCTTTTCCTTGTTTCTGCACAACTACCACGGAAGGCTGTCAAGACTCAAATGTTTGTTCAAGACCAAAGAAGATAAGCTTGTGTTCAGAGCAACTGAAGGAATGCAAAAACAAGCCAATACTCTTTTAACCACCCGATTAGCTATTTCCCTAGGCCAGGGAGCCAAGATCACACCGATGGGACAATGATGCACGCCATGCACAATACTTCTTAATAAAATATTTTAACAGAGCTCAATGATGGACTTCCCTCACACACTTTAGCAACATGCTCAGCAACCCTGTGACAGCCAACAGCCATGCTGCCAGAAGATTTGTTAGCCACCTGTTCAGAGGTGGCTAAATTTGAGGGCTGGCAAAGGTGTCCTGGATGGCCACAAAGCCATTAGCGCTGTGCTGCCTCCACCACCAATCAGCCCTAGAAGCATTCCTCAATTAGCTGCCAGGTTTGAACTGAGGGTTGCCTATCCTATGGATGGTACTCTGTACACCACTCCTACCCCTGCTGTTTCAAGTAGGACATGATTTATAAACAATGTAAATCACCTCATGCTCCTCTTCCCACTGCATTTCACTATTAAAAAAAAAAAGTGCTGGAGAGAGACCACGGAAGCATCTTAGAATATTATTCCAGACTTCTCAAGTATTTGCTTCAGTTATGTTTTACTTCTACAAGTGCAGTGTGCTAGAGAGATGTTTTAGCTGGTGGGGATCAGACACCCCTTCCTTCCTCCCCACTCCGCTCAGAGGCACAAAAAATAAAATCTACTGAATGAACTTCAGCACCTGACAGTCACTGAAGCTGCTCCCACTTTGAGCAGAAGGCAGCGTGGACTCCATCTTATTTGCTTGTTGGGAGACAGACTTTACTTATGGACAGATTCTTCTATGCAAGCAAGTGCAACTATAGATAATTACAAGCAATGCTTGTAAACCAGGATTTAAAAAAGAAATAACATATACAGAGAACCTACAAGCTGACCTGAAGTTTGAACATTCTCGCATTCTGGCTCTCCTGTAAAAATAGCAGGCTTGAAAAAGGACAAAGTCAGCAGCAGTAAAGCTGTTTCCATCGTTCCACCGGTGCAGCCAGACCTGTAGCAGGCAGATCCCACAGCAGCCTCCTCTGCCACCCACTGCCTCCAGCTGGCTGATGCACATCAGCCTGCAAAGCTAGACTTTTCTGAACTACTGCTGCAGGAGTATCTAGATATAAGCATAGCATCTATGTCAGATTGTACATTGCAAAGTGACGTTGCAATTTATTTCTTGTTATTATTTCTATAGTACTCCAAAAAGACAAACCAGAGAGTAATTATGTCAATCTAGGTTTTATTACATCTAGTAAAGTGACTTGTTGACAAAAATTATTGGACTAGTTAGGTCACGTCTAAAGAAAAGCTGTGCACACAGCCTCACACTCACTACACTAAGACTCAAACTACTGGAACAATGTTTCCTCCACAACACTCCTCCTTCCATCAGTATTTCAAGCATTCAGAATTTATTTTTATCCTCTACAGTAAGTACGTGAATGATGCCTCTGCCACTCCCTCCACCCAAAGTACTGAACTCAGGTTACATAGGGAAGTCTAACTCTTATTTGCTAAGCTTCATCTTCCACCCTGCATTTAACGTACACTCTTAAGGTAACTTCTGTAGACGTTTTTCCTTAATATTTACAGGCATGGGAAAAAAGAATTCTAAATATCATTACATACGAATCATAATCACAAAAATAATTTTCCTAAAGTTCACAGACATATTTTCACCCTCAAATATTAAAATATCAGCCTAAAATGCTAAAATTTGGCAAAGCTGTAAGCATCTGAAGAAGTGATCTTTCACAAGTACTAGACAACATTCATTGAATTTAGGTGTCAGCTGTAGATAGATGATTGTGTTAGACACATACATTGCATAAATACCTTTCTATTTTGCAAATCTTCACAATTAGTAATGCAGTTCTCATGCTTCAACTTTGGAAAAAAAAGTGACTGAAATTAAGCACTCAAGATGAAAATACGCAGTTGACAACACTGCCCTCACCACAATTTGGAACTAGATGGTCTTCAAGGTCCCTCCCAACCCAAGCTGTTCTATGATTCTGTGATAGTAGAAAACATTAGGAAATACGTGCTCACATTCACTGTTAGAAACCGCATACCTACAAAGTTCTTCTGACACCTAAAATTCTCTTGTTCTTGATCAGAAAAGTAAGCATGCTCTACTTTACTAAAAACACCATTGTTCTGTTTGTTTTTTAAGATATTTTACTGTTATTATGCCCTACGATATTCTTTATCCTCTTCAAAATATACAGCTGCACACAAACAAACAAATATTCCTACTTTTAATTGCACAAAGAAATCATCTGCCCACGGCCATTTTCACAAGTGGTTTCTGCCACATATTTGATACAAAAATGAACATTTGACATTACCTTGTGTTACTAATCACTACAGAGAGACAAATTTTCTCAGGGCCAGAGGAGAAGACAAATCATTCTCAAACTCTCAAATACAGCGAGGTTAATTAAGTGCTAATTAAAATATTTTAACAGTCAAGTTTGCTTAATCTTAAGAAGCCCTCCAAAACACGGGCAGCTTTCTTAAGATAAACTCTCCCCCTTCACCTCACTATATTCAAGCTGAACATGAAACTTGAGAGTGAGTTTTCTTTATGTGGCAGGACTCCAGCTCCACAAAGGACACATTTAGAAGCAGTACTCTGGTGCAAGGACAAAGATATCACCCAGGTGTCCAGTAGCAACCTGTCACAAGAGTAAGAAACCCTGAGGCTCCATAAAAGCAATCCAGGTCTTCCTATTCACTCAATACATAGATCCAATGGCAAAATACTGTTTGTTGTGATCGTTAGTTTGCACAGTGAGGCAATTCAGGTGTGGATTTATGATCACCGAAAATGATGGTTGCACACAACAAGACAAGGAACACGTGCTCATACAGCATACTGTGCCCAAAGAACACTTACTTCACAGAACAGCACCCACCGTGCCCAGGAAGCTGGTTCATCAGTACATGTGAGTCAGGTGCCTGTTTAAAAGAATTCTGAGTCACTACTGGACTCTGGCTCATGCTCACAATATGCACAGACAGCACAGGAAATGCATTCTTAGCCCAAGAGTAAAGTAAGCATCTTCAGCCCAAAGTCAGTATTACATATTTTATTCTTAAAAAAAGAAAGAGAACCAAGCAGGGAAGAGATCCAAACAAGCTCAGCAGTTCTGAGTCCTCCTTCTCAAAAATAGAGCTAGTACCATGATATTTCTCATCAAACAAAGCAGTTTTTCTGCAAGCTGGCTAGTTAGCCAACACATGTCACTGTGCTTGGCCCAGTGACCCCAGCCTTTCCACAACTGTCTCAACAAAGCAGTGCTATGGACACCTCTCATTATAGAAGGCATACTGAAACATTTTCAAAATTCATTCAAATAAAACAGACAGCATCATACTCTGAATATCTGAAGATAGAAGAAATATAAACTAACATCCTATCAGTTAATCAAGCTATTAAGATGCAAAACTTGAAGCCCACACAAATTCGATAACAATCACATCCACAGAAGGAATTCAGCATTATCATAGACTATATCCTGTTATAAGGCTGCAGTTGTCATATAGTTATCACATAAAATAATAACATAAATCAATGTTGCTAAACAGCTACCTATTCCCCAAGTTTCAGAAGACACATACAGCAAACGAGTACAGCATTATCTTCAGCAAACATCGAGTTCCCATCTGACTCCAGAACAGTCCCCAACTATCCTGAATTCCTATGGTATTCACACAGCATTACAGCATCTCATCTTGCACTGCTCCTTTGCACACCCTCTTAGCCCTTTACTTTACACGTGGCTGGACTAACTGATCTTAGGGGGTCTTTCTGAATCTTTGCAATTCTATGATTACAAGAGGGAACCCTGATACCCAGACCAAAGCACTAATGCTGTAGATTTCCTGAACACACCACAGCTGGAAACATAAGAGAAAAAGTATAACTCTTATACTCACAGCAGTACAGAGCAGCAACCCAGACCAACAAGTACTTTATAACCCCCCACCACCACCTCTTTTCCCCCTTAAAATAAGACAGGTTTGGATGGGTATTCCAATCAGTTTCCTCAGTAACTACCCACAGGTGATACAGGGTTTAGAGGTGCTGCCACAGCAGATAGGAACCAGCTGTGTTTAGACAGGTGTGACAACAGGCCACTGCTTGATGGGCTGCACTTAGGCACCTTGCTACAAGTCAGCTGTACTATGTGACGTGGGACAAGAGCTCCTTCAGAAAGAGGAACTAGGGGGTATAGTGACACTGCTATTCTTAGGGGACTAAAAAGGTCATTATTTAAAAAGAGAAGAAAGAAGTATGATTCAGAAGCTAAATAAAACCATAGGGAAGTTTGACTGGGCCTTAAGCATAAACAATGAAAAAAGCAGTTTACAGAAAGGATTCCTTACACCAATCTTGCCAATAGAAAGCTATGTTTGGGAAGACATGCTGTAACAACTACTTTGAATCTACTATTATCCTATAGAACTATTGTTAAAGCTACATATTAACGCCTGGTTAAGTTACGGAGTAGCATCAGATTTCCCTACAAAGGCGCCCACTCCTCCTTTCCACCTGAAGGCACTTCACCGGGAAGCAACTGCAGTCAGCTCCCTGCTCTGCAAAGCTTACCAAATGACTTTCCCCTTCCTTGTGGGGAAGACATAGCTGACATTCACTAACTAATAACTGTACTGACTAACTAACGAAGGGTTTCCACTGATAAACTATCAAGCTGCAAGGCACAGCTTGTGGCAAATCAAGCACCCTGTACTTCAGCCTGCAGAAGTTGCTTTCTGGAAATAACATTGCTCAGCAAGCACTGTGCTGTTTTCTTCACGCAAATGATGCAGTCAAGACTTTCTCTTGGAATACGACCACCACTTCCTTCTCTGAATCACAAAAGAAGGCCAAAAGAAAATTTCACTTAAGCTCAAACTATTAAAAAAAGAAATAAAAATCTCTTAATGAGCGGCCTTCTGCAACTCTTGCGGAGAGCTCATGGTACCAAAGTGAAGTTTGCTATTTTGGTTTTTTTGGAGGGAAGAATTTTGGTTAATATAATCCAAAGGAAATGCAAACATTCTTGTTCCCAAACAGTGGGTACCTGAGGGAATATTCTGTTTGTGGGAGTTATATTAATGAAGGGATCATAATGGTTAGGATGCAGATCCTGTGGGTCCCTTACAGTTTCACCCTACCAGTAACCTAACTATGACCCTTACCACAGTCTATGACTGTGAAACGGAGACATTGGCAGCTGGCATTGTTTTGATTGAGAAAATATAAGTCATCAATAATGCAGGGCATATCCTATAACACAGAATAGGTTATCCCTAACAACACCTATGCTCACCAATAAATATCTGTTCTATTGCTACCTTGTGTCAGCTGCCCCTTGACTTTGCATCCCTTGCATACAGAGAACTTTCTTGGACCGAAGTGAAATTGTTGGTATGCACCAACAGAAAGTTTGGGGGGGTTTTAACATAGAAGGAGTTTAGGGCTATCTTTCCTGAAGTCAGTGCCTGCAGTACCAGCAACAAAATTGCTTTTTTTCTTCCATAGGCAAACAATGGACCTAATGGCAGTCTGCACAAGAGAAGCTGCATGGGAAATAACTGCTTGCTCTCTTACATCATTCGGTTTCATTCATTACTGCTACTTTTGATCAGGCAGCAGACTTTAAACAAACAAAAATATCTTTCATGTAAAGAGCATTATACATCTGTAAGCTTTTAAGCTTCCACAGTATCCTGTGTCAACTGTATAAACAGTTTCAAAAAGTGATTAGACATATTCTTAGAGTACAAATCAACCAGTGGCTGGTAAAACTTAGCAGCCCATGTGCCACATCTCATCCTGCAAACCCTTTCTGCTGCTGTTTGCTTCAGGCTGGGGAACACAAAAGGAGAACTACGTAGTTTTTTTTTGTTTTGCATTTACATTCCCTCCCTGATATCTTCTGCTGACCACTGCTGGAAAAAAAACACCTACGTAAGTCTTTTCATCCTGTGGCCATTTCCATATTACTGTTCAGCTTCTTTTTCAGCACTGCTTGCTTGAGACATATGTCAGTTGGGAACAAGGGAGCCAGCCTCCAGCCCAGTGGAGCTGTGGGATGGAACTGGCTGTTGGCACTCTGGGCATGCCACGTCACCTGGGCCTCTGGACAAGGTATCACTCAACAATGCTCACCTCTGGCACCAGGCCACACAGTATAAAACATGCAAGACAAAATGAGCCAGAGAGAAAGGATCTGAAGAGAGCATGTGCAGGATGAGGTACTTTTAACTTCTGCAAAGCAGGAGCTGACCCAAGTGAATGGACACAGAAAGCAGGACTGCCAATGTACATCAGTCTGGCTCACAGTACTGAGCTGACTAATCGGGGAAACTGCATCAAATATAGAGGGCCAAGAATGAAAGCTGAGCTTCCTGGGAAATGAGAATGAATGATGGCTCACTTCAAGCCAGTCCAATCCAGCTTTCCTCCAGTCATTGTCTTTTGGATGGCATCAGATATAAGTGCCTGCAGAAGTCCATCTGTTGCATTGCATAAGCTGCATCTGAATGACCTCAGTGTCCATGCCAAAATGGTTTCTAATTCCCCTCATTAAGCCAAACTCAGCTGCACTATGGAACAGGATGATAATCCCACTGATACCAGATCGGAGTGCTCCACTCTGAACATATAAATGGTCAAGTGTAAGAAAAGGCAACCATATGTCACGTTGAGCTTTGGAGATCTGAGACACGGAAAAAGGAAATGTCTTTGTTTGGATGATACTAAATAGTTGTCTAACTCAGCTGCAAGATTCACAGTTCATCTACCCAAATCCTTAACTGCAGAGCTAGAGTTCCTGCATGAAGGACGTTTCTTACAGCATTCACTGCTGTTCAGTGGCATGAATCCTATGCTATCTTAACTAAACTAAGCCATGGATTTTGCATCTTTAGTTATTAAAAAGAGAGAGAGATGTTTTAAATCATTATAAATAAAACATCTTTCAGTTATGATTCAGAATCTGGATACTGGGATATGCAGTTAATATAATACAAAAAGACAAAACAATGAGCTTGTGTTATAAACTTTCATTTTTAAGTAAGTACAGGTAAATAAGAATGCATTACATTAAATAGATTATGCTAGATATCATTCTAAATAGTTTTCATTTAGTTCATAACATATAGAGGTCTAGGAAGTATCTTTTCTTCCTCTTTCCAAACCACTCTCTCCAAGAATAAACAAGCACAAAAGCCATCTCTTACACAGCTGGTGGTCTATTGCTATTATTCCTACATCAGTTCCTACCTTAAGTCTGTGCAGTAATTTTATTTTGGTCCAAAGGCTGCCTTGTCACCAGTCAGTAGTACTGTTCTTTTAATGATTAACTGAATTAATTAGCAACAGTCACAGCTGAAAGCTGTGGAACAAGTTGCCACCACAAAGACTGTATTTTAAACTATGAGAGCAAACAGTTACAGTTTATGTGAACACTGGTTGAGATAAGAATGTGTATAGTGCTTTAAAAAAAAAAAAAAAGTAAAAAGTTTTAATTGGCTTTGCTACTTAAAAACCAGTTTTCAGGGAAGATGCAGTAATAGATCAAAGCATACTTAAAAACCCACATAACAGCCCCAAGGATAATAATTTGCTAATATAGCTCCAGCATTTTAAGGGCTCCTTATTGCTACTGTGGCCATAGGTCCTAAATCAGACCAGACTGCACCAAAGATGTACCGAGCAGCTTTTGAAAACCGAATAGATAAAGCTATTTAGTATGGAATCTCTGATAAACTTTTACAGGAAAAAAAAAAAAAAAAAAAGAAACCCACAAAAAACTATAAAGGCAACACCACTTTGCAAATCTGTTAAAGTAACCATATTCATCAACAACTATTTACTGACAGCCTACATCTATTCGGCACCAAACACAACAGGGCTATAGTCCCTAACTGATTCCTAGATGTTAGGGTAATACAATTTTTAAGAACTAAATCCTATAAAAGGAAAGCAGACTTTTCTTGATGTAGAGATTTTGTATTTCTGTCTGCAAAACAGAAAAAACACAGATTTCCTAGAAATACCTGAAGTTCATCTGCCAGTTACTCACAGACAGCACTGTAGCTACGTGAGTTGCAACTCGTTTGAGTTGCAGCTCCCACACTGCTGTGTGACACAGCATTCTGCTGCTTCTGTTTCTCATTTTCTTATTCAGCACAATGAGAGTGTTGGTAAAAACTCTCACCCCTAGACAGTGCAATACAGATTTGTTCAAAGAGCTGCTGGTCTTACATGTCTGGAGGTGCTATATTACTGCCTCAATAACTTGCAGGTTGTCTGTCTAGCATACGACGAAGACAGCATTCAGTTGAAGAGCAGCTTTCCTTCCTACATTTAAGCATGCCCAACCTGCACATCTTGCCTCTCCTTTCATGTTGGTGCAGGGCTGGAAACGAATGTTTAAACCAGAACTCTGTCACTCAGCTGAGCTCCAGATTTGCCCCAGGCAGCTTTCCATGGGCAAGCTGGACACTTCACTCAGCAGCCACCTCCCATCTTCATGCACTAACATGGTCCATGCTGCCTGGTGCCTGCCCAGCCTCACCAGGCTCCAGCCACACGCTGCTGGGAGCACACAGCCCTGCAGTGAGACGTTCTTGAGGCTGATGATACTAACTGCTAATTTAATCCCCTTTTCTCTCCTCTTCATGAATAGGGTCAACATAGGCATTTTCTCTCCTCATCGGTTTTCTGCTGGTGCAAATAGGAGGCAGCCCTCCTCTGAACTGATTATCATCCCTGCATACCCAGCTGTACCATTTGGTAGGCCCCACATACCACCCTACCACCTGGCAGTGATCCTGAGTACAAGCTAATTTACACCCTCAGTATAACAGCTGTGTCTTTTGCTACTCTAGAATATGCTACATGCAACTGAAATAGAAGTCCAGCAAGACACTGTTCGCCATCATCTTGTAAAAAGAGTGAAAGCAGGAACAA